TAAAAATAAATACTATAAAAAAGTAATCTATATTTTTAAATATTATTATACCAAATTTCATTTAAATATTCTAAATTATTAAAAAAATAAATTAGTAGCATATTTATAGCACCAACACAGGCAAATTTGCCTATATTGGTCTACAATTTAAGGGATAATAGCTTCACAGCTCAGAAAAAAAAAAGAAGTTAGTTAGCTAAAAATAAAAAAAACAAGACAAAAAACTTATAAATTACCCACCTGGTCTAATTAATATGACTTGAAGCTTACTCTATGGTGATTCTGAAAACTATGAAATTATTAATCACAATGACTTTAACAATAGCACCAATGATGGCTTCAACAACAGCTTTAATAATGATTCTATAACAGCTCTAATGATAGCTTCATGATGGCTCCAACAACAATCGTTTTAACAATAGCTTAAAAAAAAAGATTATCATTGTTTATATATGATTTCTGATCTTAAAAATGATTAGCTAATCATATATATATTATGATGCTGTATAATTTTAAAAAATTTATTTATTGAAAAAAATAGTACTATAGTGCTATAGTATTAAAATATTATAAAACTATAATAATATTCTCTAAAACAATATTTTAACTTTAATTTTTTTATAATAAATAATTTTATTTTCTCTTTTAATCAAGAGTTATTGCCAGAATTCTTTCATTTGTATTTGTGTTTCTTTTTTCTCTTTTTTTTTAGTTTAGCCTATCCTTTCTAATCAAAGATCTAGCTCTTAGAAGCTTCTTGTATCTTTTTCTTTAATCTTGTTTTTCTGTTTTACCATTTCATATTTTTTTTTCTTTCTTGAAAGCTTGTTATATAGGTTTTTTTTCTAGGAATACTCTTCTATAAACTTTTCTTTTCTCTAAATATCTTGGGTCTTCTTCTGGTTTTTTTATTTCTAGATCTCTGTTGATTTGCTCAGATTTTCTTTTTTTCATAACCTAGGTATAAAAGCTTTTTTTTCTTTTTTTTTATCTTTTTTTTTTTTTTTAGAGCTTGGTTTTCTTCCCAAAAACTTCTCTTGTATTTCGGTAAAAATTTTTCGATCTTTGACTTGCTCTACAAAAATCTTCTCTAATATCTTTAATAATACATCTTTTTTTTCTTTTTTTTGATTCTTGGCTCTCTTCAATCTAAATACTGCTATATCTTGAGATGAATTTATATCAAAATTTTATTGGGACTTTATCCCATAAATCTATTTTGCAAATAACTCTTTTTTTTTCAAATTTTATTATCAATCTGTGAGTCTTTAATACTTGCTTGGTATATTATTTTTATCAACTATTCTGCTAGAGTTATTAAAGAGATTTTTGGTCTTGATTCTTCTTGAATCTTGTTTAGCATTTTTGTTTCTATATGATCTAGAATATCTTGTTTAATATTTCTCTTTTTCTTTTCTTCTTTAGATTTTCTTTTTTTTTTTGCTTGCTGTGATAAATTCGACAGAATACTTTAAATTGTATTACTAGAGTCTTTAATGCTATTTTGTTATGCTACTTTTGTCAAGCTTTTTCTGTTCTTAAAATCTCTTGCTCTAGTCTAGATTCAATTTCGATTTTATTTCAGCAGCTTGTTTTTTCTTTTGCTGAATTTTTGTCTTTTTCTTTTTTCTTTAGCTTTTTTTTCATCTTTTATTAATTTGCTATAATAGTTTTGACAGATTCTTTGAATTGTTATACTATAAACTTCAGAAAAATTTTGCTGTGCTGTCTTTGTTGATTATTTCTTTGTTCTTGAAGTTTTTTGCTTTATTCTAATTCTAATTTCAACTTTGTTTTAGCATCTTGTTTTTTCTGGTCTTCTAGTAAATTTCTTATTCTATTAGTTATGTTTAATTTTACTATTATATTATTTATTTTTTTATATATTATATAACTAACTAGATCTTTTCTTTCTTGTATTGCTTCGTAAAAATAATAGTAGTTTCTTTTTATAAGTACAAGTTCTGTGTATTCTGACTCTTCTCTATTGTATTACTATAATTTTTGATAAAGCTCTTCTATTTATGTTTTAGCTCTTCTTCTGTAATAAGTTTCTTTTCTGCATATTCTGCTATTATTTGTTCTACTTGTATATCTATTTCTTTATTAGTCATTGTTGTTATTATATTCTGAATAGTTTCTAAGTACTCTTTTGCACTTTTTAGTATATCATATTTTTTTCCAGAATGTTCTGCTAAAACTTGCTTTATATGACTTGTTGTTTTTTTATAGTTGTTAGTTATTATTATTGTTTGTTGTGTTTGTTTATCAACTTTGTTTATATTTGTCATATAGTTTTTAGTATTACATATTGTGATTCTTGTATTACTAAATAAATCTGTGATTAGAATCAAGGCCAATTCTCCAAAAATTTACGAAGTGCAAAAAAATATCAATGATTTTTCATGACTTTTTCTATTTCTTTGTTGCTTTTGCTCTTCTTTCTTAAATCTTTTAAGAAACTAAGTATTTTTTGTAGTCCTTATTCTTTTTTTCTTAGAGCTTCAAGTTTGGTTTTCTAGTAATCTTTGTGTGTTTTGATTATTTTTTAATTAATTTTTGTTTTTTTGAATTTTGTGTTTTGATGATTAGCAAAAAGAGTTAAGCTTTTTTTTTATATTAGTTTATATTAATTAGATGACAATTTATTAATTAAAAAAACTAATATACATAATATTATATAGAACTAATATATATAAAAATTATTTTTTATAAAAATATTTTTTTTAGTTTCTAGTATTCTTGGTATCAATTTAATTATTCTGTATTTTTAAAAAAATATTGATTTGAATATCAAATATAATAGAAAAGTCTATTTAATCAAAACTTAATATTTACAAAACTATTCAAATAGTTTGTTTTTTAGTTTTATATTTTTAAAATTTTATTAACAATATATCTACTTGTATAGAACCAAGAATACTATTTATTTGGATCAATACTTTTTTTAACGATTCTCTAGACAACACAACAAAAATTGAACTACAGAAAAATGATATAGAAAGTCTCAAGATATACCTATTTTTAGTCTTGTCTTTAAGTAAACAGTTGTCAATGAAATCTAAAGATGTAAAACACCAAGAAGCGAATATAACTTGGGCAGTTTTCTTGGGTCAAGCTTTTCTATTGCGGTGGACTCCTCAAGATATTTGGTATCCAAACTAAAAGAGTATTCTGAGAACTGAACTTATCTCTGAACAGGTTGCTGTTGACAAAGCTTAAAAGACATAAAATACTGAGGAGTGGGCGTAACTTGAGTGATTTTTTTGGAGTCAAACTTTCTGCTAGGTGGATTCCTCAAGATATTTGGTATCTAAACTAGAAGGTTTATTCTAGAAGCAAGTGATATAGCTCTTGCTAAAATAGTACAATTTTGTAGAACCAACTATATAACCATAAAACTTTTAGAAGAACCTCACATACTTTTATTGTCCCTCCACTATTTTTTCAGAGAAAATTTTATAAAAAGTAGGTGATCTAGCTTATCTTCTCCAAAAGATTGATATATTGTTTACTTTTCAAATCGGATATCATTGTTTACTTTTTTAGCTATCACAACAAATACATGGATACATATGGAGTAGTAGATCTATAACTATGTATCTCGAATATGATGATCTAGATAAACAATATCTCAAGCTCACCGGTGTGATTTTCTAACTTCTCTACGGTGCTGATATCGAAGAAACTTCTCTTTTTTGTTTTTTTTTTAGATTCTAAGTTTAAACATACTATGTATATAAATTAGTGTAGAGAATAGTTTAAATAATAGTATATAATTTTTATAAAGCCCGATACAGGCTCATAATTGTGACCATCTGATGTAGGTAAAAAATCCTATATTTTAGTTTAGTTTTCTTGTTTCTTTCTAACCCCTTTTTTTTTCTTTTATTTGGTTTTTTTTACGTTGCCTTCTATACCTCTGTGTTTCTTTTATAAAATTTTTTTTTTTTTCACTTTTCTACGAGAAGATATCATCAAATTGGCAATATTCTATTGTAGAACGGTGGTTAGATGAGCACTGGTAGAGTATTATCTTAATTGATCGTATTTCTCCGATGTGGTGTGGTCATCTATAGATACATGTAGGTAATCAGTTAGGTTATGCAAGGTAACCACAGTATGTCAAACCTGTAGCTTTAATGTTTTTGTACTTCCACAAGTGGTGCTTGATTAAATAAAGGTTCTGGTACGATTTGCTAAAGTGAAGCAAAAAAAAAAAAGAATACTATTTATTTGGGATATTTTCTATAATATTTTCTCAATAGTTTGGTTTTTGGAATGTTGATTAGAAGATCATCAGGATTGATTTTATTTTTCTATATTATATTTAATTTTAAAGTTTAATTTGTTTATAAAATTTTTTAAAATAGTAATACTAAAGTAGTTTTTTTTAATATACTTAGATAATTTAGTTAAACTATTTTAAATATTTGATCTAAAAAAATAAATATTTAAATAAATAATATGAATCAATAAATTATAAATTTATTCAGATTAAAACTCTAATTTTAGCTAAATATAACTATAAATATATAGATAAACTTGATTATTTTAATATAAAATTAAAAATCTTAATAGCTAGCTTGGTACAACTCTTTAGTATAAAATAATTTCTTAATTAATATAACAGATTGCAGATTAGTATTCCTATGAACTGAACTGAACTGAACTTTTGGTTAAGTTCAAGTTCAGTTCAAAATTGAACTGAACTTGAACTTGAA